ACGAGCGAAAGCGAGAGCGAGAGCGAGAGCGGGGCCACGACGGACGGCGACAGCGGGGCCACGAAGGGCATGCGTATGGGGCCACGACGGGCGCGAACGAGCGGGGGCCACGAAGGGCAGATAATGCGGGAACAGAGGAGGGCAACGACGGGGCCACTGAGGGTAGCAACGGGGCCACGTAGGGCAGCGAGGGGGCCACAAAGGGCGACAGCAGGGCCACGAAACGCACGCATGTGGGGCCACGATGGGCGCGGACGAGCGGGGGCCACGAAGAGCATACGTAGATTGGGCCGCGGAAGGCAACGATGGGGCCACTGAGGGCAGCAACGGGGCCACGAAGGGCAGCGAGGAGGCCACGAAGGGAATACATGTTTGGAGCCACGGAGGGCAGCGAGGGGGCCACGAAGGGCTGCAACGGGGCCACGAAGGGCAGCGAAAAAGGCAACGAAGGGGCGCAACGGGACCACGAAGGGCAGAAAGGGGGCCACAAAGGGCTGCAACGGGGCCACGAAAGGCAGCGAAGTGGCCGCGAAGGGCTGCAACGGGTCCACGAAGGGCAGCGAGGGGGCCGCGAAGGGGTGCAACGGGGCCACGAAGGGCAGCAACGGGGCCACAAAGGGCTGCAACGGGGCCACGAAGGGCAGCGAGGGGGCCACGAAGGCTGCAACGGGGCCACGAAGGGCAGTGAGGCGGCAACGAAGGGCTGCAACGGGGCCACGAAGGGCAGCGAGGGGGCAACGAAGGGCAGCGAAGTGGCCACGAAGGGCTGCAACGGGGCCACAAAGAGCAGCGAGATCCCGACTCCTAAGTAAGCTGTGAGGGAGTCCTAAACGTGAGCGCGATTCCAGGGTGCCTGAGTGTCGGGAGCGCGGCGCTTGAGTAAATTGTAAAGAGCTCCAGCGCACAACCGCGATTCTTTAATACATTGCAAACAGGTCCCCAGCGAAAGCGCGACTCCAAAATGCCGGAAAAAAACCTTTCCGGAATAAATTGCAAGGAGGTCCCAAGCGAGAGCGCGACTCCTGAGTAAAATGCGAAGAAATCTCAGACGGGAGAGGGGGTCTTGGCTAAAGTGTGACGAAATGTTAAGCGGGAGCTGTTGTTGTTGTTGTTGTTGTTGTTGTTGTTGTAATCCGTGGGCCAACAGAGCTCCGTGACTTTCCCTGATTAAAGGGGTGCGAGCCCCGGAGGAAGCACGTCAATAGAAAAAAAAAAAACATAATGGTCACTGGAGGTGGGGATCAACAGCAATGATTCTCCAGTTCTGAAAACTCAACAACAACAATCAGTTTACTATTCGCTCTTATCTGCTCGAGTGTCCACCAACGTGTATTTCTCCAACCCTCGATATCTCCCCTCTTCGTCTTCGATCGTACCCCATTTGGGGGTATAGTTTTATTCCTTGCAGGCCAGTCCCCTGTAAGCGGCGGGGGGGGCGGCCGCGGACTGTCGGCCTGGCCAGCGGCAGCGCTGATCGGCGGCAGCCCGGCCCCAAGAGGGACGGACAGGGGGCCGACCACCACGACGACGACGACGACGAGCGAAAGCAAGAGCGAAAGCGCGAGCGATGGCGATAGCGGGGCCACGACGGGCAGGAAGGGGCCACAAAGGGCGACAGCGGGGCCACGAAGAGCATGCGTATGGGGCCACGAAGGGCGCGAACGAGCGGGGGCCACGAAGGGCAGATAATGCGGGACCTGAGGAGGGCAACGACGGGGCCACTGAGGGTAGCAACGGGGCCACGTAGGGCAGCGAGGGGGCCACAAAGGGCGACAGCGGGGCCACGAAACGCACGCATGTGGGGCCGCGACGGGCGCGGACGAGCGGGGGCCACGAAGAGCATGCGTATATCGGGCCGCCGAGGGCAGCGACGGGGCCACTGAGGGCAGCAACGGGGCCACGAAACGCATGCATGTGGGGCCACGACGGGCGCGAACGAGCGGGGGCCACGAAAGGCATGCACGTGCGGGGCCACGAGCGGCAGCGAGGGGGCCACGAAAGGCTGCAACGGGGCCACGAAGGGCAGTGAGGGGCCACGAAGGGCAGCGAGGGGGCCACAAAGGGTGACAGCGGGGCCACGAAACGCACGCATGTGGGGCCACGATGGGCGCGGACGAGCGGGGGCCACGAAGAGCATGCGCATACCGGGCCGCCGAGGGCAGCGACGGGGCCACTGAGGGCAGCAACGGGGCCACGAAACGCATGCATGTGGGGCCACGACGAGCGCGAACGAGCGGGGGCCACGAAGGGCATGCGCGTGCGGGGCCACGAGCGGCAGCGACGGGGCCACGAAAGGCTGCAACGGGGCCACGAAAGGGCAGTGAGGGGCCACGAAGGGCAGCGAGGAGGCCACGAAGGGCAGCGAGGGGGCCGCGAAAGGCTGCAACGGGGCCACGAAGGGCAGCGAGGGGGCCACGAAGGGCTGCAACGAGGCCGCGAAGGACAGCAAAGGGGCCACGAAAGGCTGCAACGGGGCCACGAAGGGCAGCGAAGGGGCCGCGAAAGGCTGCAACGGGGCCGCGAAGGACAGCGAGGGGGCCACGAAGGGCTGCAACGGGGCCACGAATTGCGGCGAGTCGGCCACGAAGGGCTGCAATGGGGCTTCGAAAGGCAACGATATCCCGATTCCTACGTAAGGTGTGATATGGCGTGGGGGAGTCCTAGGCGTGAGCGCGACTCACGGGTGCCTGAATATGGGGGGGGCGGCGCTTGAGTAAATTGAATGAAATCCCTGCGAAGAACGCGACTCTTCACTAAATTGCAAGCGAGTCTCCAGCGAGAGCGCGACTCCAAAGCGCCGAAAAAGCGCTTCCTGCATAGATTGCATGGAAGTCCCAAGCGAGAGCGCGATTCCTGAGTAGAGCGGGAAAAAATCTCAGGCGGGAGCGGGGGTCCTGGCTAAAGTGCGAGGAAGTCTCAGGCGGGAGCCGTTGTTCTTGTAATTCGGGGGCCAACAACGCAGTTTGAACTGGGTGACTTCCCCGAATGAAAAACTGACTGCGAGCCCCGGGGGAAGCACTTCAATTGAAAAACACATGTGCTACCGGAGGGGGGATCAACAATACTTATTCATCAACAATGAAAACTCAACAACCACAAGCACAACCACAACAACAACCACAACCACAACAACAATAAGACCAACACCAACACCACCACCACAACCAACGACAACAACAGCCACAAAAAACATCAACAACAACAACAACAAGGCGCAAACCCGGACTGCGGCCCCGTGCCCACGGGTCGCAGTCCAGGTTTGCGCTGCATGGCGCAAGCCCAGACTGCGGCCCCGCCGCGCCCCCCCACCCACCCCCGCGACGCGACGCAACGCGACAAATCTCTCTACCGCGAGGGCTTCCTGCACTCTCAGAACTATGCGACTGGTGCGATTGCGGATTCCTACCCAAATAGCACAAGGCCGCAACGGAAGAAAGGAGTCCTGCATAAAGAAGCACTCCACTGGAATCATCACATAAGAACCCTTACACACGTATCCTTGCAATAGCATCATTGATCCGAACTCCTCAATAAGGACTCCTGATACTGGACTCCCTGATGACGAGTCATTATATATAAACCTCACTCAGGAACCCATGCAATGAACACCTCACTAAGGCAGAATGAAAGAAAACTTCGCCTGGAGTGCTTACAATCAGCCATAAATAAGGAATCTGCCACAAGAAGCCCATCCAATGGAGTCTTTGGCACGAGCCACTCCTCAATGTGGAGTCCCTCGCGAAGAGTCCGCGCGCGGGAATCGCCCCCGCGGCGCCCTCGCAATGAAATCTGCGCGAGGGCCCCTTCATGCAGAGCCGCTACAACGGACTCATTAAAAAAGGAACCCCTAGCAAGGCGCCCTTCGAGTGGACTCCTGAATGCGGAGTCCTTCCTAAGGAATCCTTGCAAATGGACTCCTAACGAAGGGGCCGTTCGATTCAGGAACCCTTGCAGCGCGCTCTTTAACAAGGAGCTCTTACCAAGAAGCCCTCGCAAACAAAGAACCCTTGAGAGGCTGAGTCGCAGCCCTCGCAGCGGAAGCCTTTCCACGCGGAATCCTTAGCGAGGAACCCTTCGCATGATCTTCGCAATGAAGGGGCCCGCGACAGGGGGTCTTTCAGTGGGGGCCTGTAAATGGGAACATTGAGTGAGGGCCCCTTACGTGGAAGCCCTTAGAGTAGATGCTTCAATATCGAAAACTCCCAAGAGAGCGCTGACAATGGGCCCCTTCGCAGAGGGCCCATAATCAGGAGCCCCTGCAACCGACCCCTACAAAAGTTATTGTGAATAAGGACTCCTCACAACAGACTCCTCAATGAGGAACCCATGAAAAGGGATCCTCTCCGCGCAAAAAAAAAAACACCGAAGCACCCTCGCACTGGACCCTGCAACGATAATTCTCAATGAAGGAAGCCTCTCCAATGGACTCCTTCCGAAAGAACCCTCGCCATGGACTCCGCGATAGGGAATGTTTACCATGGAATCCGGAGTGCGACTTCCTTGCCAAGGGCCCGTTCGCACGGGGCCCCCCGGGAATCCTCGGAACGACTTTCCAAAGGGACGCCCGACGCAGATTTTGGATCGCAGAAATCAATACTGAGATCCCCGCCGCGCATCCCACTGCAGATCCTTCGACAGATCCTACCAATGATACCCTTTATGTATCCCAAGATCGATCCTGCCACGTGCCACACAACATACCCAAACAAATGGGAGCGAGTGGTCATAATTCTCAATGTCTCCCAAGAATATGGAGCTAGCAGTCGCACTTCTCAACCTTTTCCGAAGAATTGAAAGGGAGCGGCACAATTCGTGATCTCCGAGGGACTGGGAGCGAGGAGTCGCACCCCCCAAGGAACGGGAACGAATGGTCGCAAATCGTGATATCTCCCAAGGAGATGAGGGCGAGTCGGGGTCTGCGGTCGACTGGCGCGCCCCTCCTTGTTCACGATTGGCAGACTGGCGACGATCGGTCAGGGTAGCGCGGGCATGTGTTCACACTACCTCGATCCTGCCATGCTGCGGTAGGGTAAAATAGAACTCTGCGCCGCGGCAGTCCTGCCAGGGGGCCATCAGCGCGCGGCCTAGTCGCCCAACGTTGGCTGCACATACTGGCGAGGCTGATGGAGCTCAGCCCCGCGCGCAAAGCTCGCACTTGGGCCAAAGCTCAAGGTTGCGTTGGGCGCTGGGTCTTGCTGGCCGCGCGTGCTCAGGCGCGCGTGACCACCAGCGCCGAGCTTGCGCGATCGCACATTCGCGCGTCCACTGAGCGAGCAGTCGCGCGTCTGGGATGCTGGCCGGGTCGCGAGGGACGGGCCGGCGCGCCGAGCGTTCAGGCAGCGTGGCGCGGTAGGTGCGCAGTCGCGCCGGTGGCCTGGCGAGAGCGCGCGCGCTGTGGAAGCGCTTCGGTTGGTGATTCTGGTCCAACATTGACTGCCCTGTTTGACTTGCAAACTCATGTCGAGGCACATCACGTAGCCCCGCAGGTTGTAGCAACAGCTGCAGTCGTCGTTGCTACGCTCACTGTCGTGGTAGATCTCGCGGTGCTCGTGCGCGTCGTCGGCGCGCCGTCGACGTGCTCGTCGCGCTGGCACGCGTCGCGTGGTGCCAGCGGTGTCTGTGAGACTCTTCCGCGAAGCTCCTCTCCAAGCTTGGTTGCGTCTGCTGGGGCCGCGACGCATGATGGCATGAACCCCTGGTGGAGTGGCCAACGATGGCTGCTCCCACGCAGGGTGCGTCGGAAACCTGTGCTGAACGGCAACGCCGGCCCTGTTGTTGCGCGGTCGCTGGAGCCGGTTCCCAGGCAGAGCCTGCCCGGGGCCCGCGCCGATCGGAGGCGCAAGCGCTGTGGCGGCGCGGCCGCTGGCGGCGGCTGCCCGGCAGGACGCGCCAGGGGCCCGCCCCCGACGACGGCGCGGGCCCCGCTGCGGCGAAGCCGCCAGGCGAGGCGCGACAGAAGCCCAGCACGCAGCCTGGGCGTGACACGAAGGCAATGAGCGACTGGCACGCCGACGTAGGCACGGCTGGTCGCCCCCGCTGTCGGCGCAACGGGCATGCAGGAGACCGCAGTCAGGGCTGGCGCGAAACGCGCAGTGTGGGCGGCCACCCGATGGCAGCCGGTTGCCTGCGCGCGTTGGGCCAAGGTGCGCGCGGTGCCTTCGTCGACGGCGTCTGGATGGCACGGCGATGGAAGACGGTCGTCCCGCGCGAGCCTGCATCCTTGCACTCCAACACAAAAAAAAATGATACCGGAGAAAAACCCCAATCAGGGCTATAGGGCTAGGGGGGCTATAGAGTTGCAGGGCTATAGGGCTATTGATAGGGCACCCCCGGGCACCCCCAGGCACCCCCGGGCACGCCCAGGCACCCGGGCGTGCGAAAATCGGCGGCAAACCTAACCTAACCTTATGAATATTGAGCTATCGGGCTATAGAGCTATAGGTCTATAGAGTTGTAGGGCTATTGGGCTATTGGGCTATAGGGCTATAGGGCACCCCCGGGCACCCGGGCACCAGGGCACCCGGGCACCAGGGCACCCCCAGGCACGCCCAGGCACCCGCGGGCACCCGGGCACCCGGGCACCCCCGGGCTTCCCCGGGCACCCCCGGGCACTCGGGCGTGCCGCGAAAATCGGCGGCGAGCCTAACCAAACCATATGAATCCGCTAGGACCCGTACAGAGGCAAGCTCTGATTGGGGAATTTCATCTGCGTCGTAAGCACCAGCCGCCAGTTGGGACCCACCGCGGGTGTTCCAAAGGTGTCCTGGTCGCGAATATGGCCAAGTTCGTTGTTGGCCCGAAGTGTGCTGGTATTCTTCGTAAACCAAGCGTGGATGATTGCCCGAAATTCCGCCCCGCGACGCACGCCGGCCTGTTGGGCCAGATGGGCCTGCTGGACCTTCGCGCATGGGGGAGACAGGTCGGCGCTGCTCTAAGCGCGGCGGGCATCGCGCACTGGTGCGGCAGAGTAACCTTTGAAGAGCGAGACGGAACAAACCCTCGATAACCTGCGCCGAACATCCGACGCGCGAGAAGGGAGCCAAGTTGTTCAACATCAACCGCCGAAACACATGATAGTCCGAGCTGCGAGCTGTCCGCTGATTCGACCTCGCGCGGCGTTCTGGCCAGGAGGTCCTCGCTCCATGACCAGTGTCTGAGGCCCGCGGGAACTCGGAGCGCGATCGCCCTGGCGGCCCCTTGCTTCGTTCGCCTCGCGGTCGGCGCTGGGCCCGCTGGCCGGCGCGGGCGAGCGAGCGAGCAGTTGCTCCGAGCAGATGTGGGCCGTGCTCTGACAAGTCCCCCTTCTTTCCGGGGGCCGGTCTGAAGTGGGGGCGCGTTCATCTTCGCATCAACGATGCTTGCGGCTATCTGGGCGCTGAACTCTCCGGGCCTCCGCCCACTCGTCTCCTGCCCGATGGGGCGGAAGCGGGGGAGGGAGGTGCGACGGCAGGCGGTTGCACCGGGGCGCGCGCGCATAGCAGGCGCATCTCGACTCCCCTGCAACCGCAAGGTTGATTGGGTCGCAAGACGGCGGGGCGCGCGCTGCACTTTCGGCGCGCCAGCTGCGGCGCCGCACCGGGCGTCAACCGTCGCGGGTCGCACGGCGCGCGGTGCAGCGCGCAACTGGCCGCGCTGCTGCGCGCGCTGTCGCGGCGAATTTCGGCTGCTGCGCGCCGGGGCGGCTCGCTGGACGCGCGGGCCAGGGCCGTCCTGCTGGGCGGCCCTGCTGGCTGCGACGCGACGATAATGCTGCGATGGCGAACGCATCGACGCCCCCCTCGCGTCTGCGCGCGGACCCGGGAAGCGCGTCGGCCGGGCCGACGCGCCCCCGTCCAAGCTGTGGTCGGAGCGCAGCGAATCGGGCGGTAGAGGGCGCAACTCGCTGCTGCTTTGTTCTGCTGGCAGTCGACCCCGAGCGCGCTGGGCATGCCATCGCAGCGGCGGCGCGGGCCCTGCCCCGTGACTTGGCCCGGCCCGCATCTGGACACGCGGGCCACAGATGCGCGCTCTTGTGGCTGCTGGCCAGGAACTGTCCTCAGCCGCCGCGCGCGCCAGGAGGCACGTTGAGCCTCGCGGGGGTCGCGCTGACAATTGCGGATGGTAGTTACTGTTCAGCAGCAAGCGCGCCGCGCTTACATGGAGGTCAAGGCTGCGGCGTCTTGTAGCGCCTCTCTGGGTTGGCGTCTACAAGTGCAGGTTGCGGCTGCCTGCGGGCGCGGGCTGCGGCAGGATGGGCCCCCGGCTGGCAGCCGCGTCTGCGGGAGGCATCAGGGTGGGGGAATTGGTTGAGGAGTGCGAACAGGGGAAGGCTGAGCAGAGGCGCAATTGAGCGGATCTGCGGACCGCGGCGCCCCTTCCTCGAATTTTCTTTGCGTTTTGGTTGCCTTCGCGCATCTTCCCCCTCCTGGCTGTTCTCCAAGTCCTCTGCCTTGCGTCGCCCTCCCCCCCCAGTAGAACGCGACGCGCTGGATGCCGGCAGAGATGGCCAAGGGGACGTAGGAAGCTGATGCTAGCAGCAATATGGACAGGAACACGTAGATCGAATGCGACATTGCCAGAACAATCAGCAAACGTGCACCATGGCAGCCTGGGCACATGATAGACGCGACAAATTACTCCGCGCAGCACTGAGCGAGACTGATTGCGCGCGTCGTGAAAATTTCGGCGAATACTGTAATCATATCCTACAGGAGCACATCATGCTCGGCCCCGTGCGGACCTGGCGGCCCAGCGGGTGACAGCGCGGCCCGTCGGAAAGGGGGCGGGGAGATCCGTGGAACTCGATCCCCTGGATCGTCGGGCGCCGACTCAACTACAGGCGCAGACCGCATGCGGCGCGGACCGACGGGGCGCGCCCTTGACGAGGGGGCGCCAAGCCGCTGGGCTGGTCGGCGAGACCTCAACGCGGCCCAGCAAGCGACGGCGTGCTGGACGAGTCAGGCGGTGCACTGCCCGCATCAGCTGGCGCGCGCCTCGACGGGCGTGTGACAGGGCTTCCAGGCAGCACGCGGCGCGACAGCAATAAGTGCCAGCGACGTGCCTGGACGCCTCATCCTCGAAGGGCGCTGGCGCAGGTGGCAACAAGGCCCCCGACAAAGTCCGCGTCGAGGAAGAGCCAAAAGAGGACGAAACACGGCAGCTCGGAGTTGCCGAACTGGTCGAAGGGGCGGATGAGACGAAGAACCCGAGTGAGCGATGGTCGCGGCATGGCCGACGTGCTAGCTGCATCTGGCCGTGGTGTCTGCAGCCCTCGACGGATGCGTGTTTGGCCAGCTGCAGTCCACACTCGGGACAATAACATGCATCGGCGACATCAGCTTGGTGATGAGTAGCTTACCGCCCACGAGGGCCAAGACATGGATCCTCCTCGATAAGACTCCACCACGATGTGAACTGCGGAAACACCTTTGGGCTCGGGCCTGCGCACGGACGAACACCATGCTGAAGCGGGTGGCAGCCATAGGAATGCGGTTGCCTTTGACAGGTGCCAAGGGTGGTCAGATAATTACACTCAGCTTCATGACAGTGCTCCACTGGAGTGGTGCTACGTGCTCGCATAGAGGACAGCCAGCACAATCGCACACATCACGAGGCACGGCGCTAGCCCAGGGAGGGGCCTCGCAGTCATGCCCGACGCGAAGCTGCGGCCAGTGCCTGCTGGGTGCGATGGGTCGGGGAAGGTCGTGGCGCTCCCAGGGTCGAGTCGTTCCACATGGCGTTGTAGCCTGCGGCTTCTGATGCCCTGCGCAGCTGGACTCTCGCACGTCTCACACGGTCCGGTATTTGCCTCATCCTAGCCTGCGAGCGTCCATGGCGAATTGCCAACCGGCTTGCAGAACAGCAACAAACACAAGCTGTTCAGGGGACGGACGATGCTGGCGTTGCAGAGATTGAAGAGTGCGAATGTGCGTCCACATCGCCCTATGCGCAATCCCGTGGATCAAGAACCGGGATCGCTCCCAGCTCCGCTACCAACTAGACTTGCGGGTGGCACTGGTGAGAAGTAAGAGACATGGCGGCAGTGGTAACAAAAGAGATGGCAGAGCGGCGGGTCTTTTCCCTTCCAACATCATACAGTACGCGGGCCCGTTGTGAGCCAAGCGGCAGCGGACCCCTCCGATTCGAATGACGAGGAGGAGGGGAATGAGAATGAGAAGGAGGAGGAGGAGGAGGAGGAGGAGGAGGAGGAGGAGGAGAGGAGGAGGGGGAGGAGGAGGAGGAGGAGGAGGAGGAGGAGGGGAAAGAGGGAAGAGGAAGAGGAGGCGGACGAGGAACGTGAACCTGGAGAGGAGAGAAAGCGGAGGAGGAGGAGGAGGAGGAGGAGGAGAGGAGGAGGAGGAGGGAGCAGGAGGCAACAAGAGGGAGGTGGAGAAAAAGGCGGAGTGGAGGGTCGTTCGGTCTGCCTTGGGCCCCGGGTGGGTCTGTGGGAGCAACCACGATGAGGAGGAGGAGGGGCAAAAAGAAGATGAGGACGTGGAGGGCACAGTGGAGGCGGGGCGACAAGGAGGGGCGATGATGATGATGATGATGATGATGATGATGATGATGATGATGGTGGTGGTGGTGGTGGTGGTGATGATGATGATGATGATGATGATGATGATGATGATGATGATGATGATGATGGTGCTGATGATGATGAGGAGGAGAGGAGGAGGAAGGGGAGAGAAAAGAGGGAAGAGAAAACGGAAAGAAAAGGAGACGGACGAGGGAACGAAGGAGGGAGAGCCAGGATGAGGAGGGGGGAGGTGACGAGGAGGAGCGGAGACGGACGGGGGATCGAGGCAGGGAAGGGGGAGCGAGGAGGAGGAGAAGGGAAAGGAGGAGGAGGAGAAGGAGGAGTAGGAGGAGAAGACGGAGGACGACGACTACAACGACGACGATGACGACGACGATGACGAGTGAGCGAGAGAGGGAGGGCGAGGAGGAGAGGGAGGAGGGGTGAGGAGGAGAAAGAGGAGGAGAAGGAGCCTCCGTCATTGCAGTTTCGTTCTCCACCCAGGACTGGATACCCCTGCTCAGGGCCAGGCCCGACGCGAGGAGCGGGATGAAAGTGCAGCTGTCTGTGTTGCTCCTGAAAAGCGGCACCGCCGAAAGGGCACCCAAGCTGGCACCGGCGAGCACGCGGCCGATGCACGCGATTGCGTTGAAGCCGGCGAGGTCGACCGCCTTGGCACGGTGATACGTAGGAAGACATCCATAACAACAACAATAATCCGATTCATGATGATAGGTGATGAAGGTGGTCGTGGTAGTGGTGACGATGACGACGACGACAACGACGACAACGACGACGACAATGATGATGCTGCTGATGATGATGACGGCGATGATGAGATGATGTCGGTGATGTTGATGCTGGTATCGGTTATGATCTGCATATATGTATGATTACGACTACTGGGCAATATTGTCTAATCTGGCGTACTCTCATGTATGCAGGATTTCTTCCTCCGCAACGCACCGATGATTCATAACTCCACCCTCTAGCACAGCATATCACGACAGCATGGCTGCGCCGCAGAGTGAGTTGGAGGGCCGACTGATCGTCGTCGTTTCGCACGCGTCCGCATGCAGTATTCTCCAGATGAGCCTCGAAACACAAAAACACAAGACAGGCACCTCAAGGCGAGCCGCATGACCAAAGGCGATCGGCCCACGCGACACTCGACAACCAGTACGTCATTCAAAGGCGGGGAAGGGGAGCAGAGGAGAGGAGAAGAAAGACAGGCCGAGGCTCGTGGGTGCGGAGGCCAATCGAAAGTGGCGCGCGCACCGGGGTCCCGCACGAGCGATGCAAGGAAGCGAGGGGGAGCAGGGGGAGCGAAGAGGAGAGCACGACTTCAGTGGAAGTGGCAAAGGAAGAATACGAAGAGGGGGAGACAAGGAAGAAGAGAAGGAGGAACAATATGGGGATGGGGAGAGGATAGCGAGGAAGAGGAGGAAGAGGAGAACGGAGAGGATGGGAAAATGAGGATAATCAGAAGCCGGATAAAAATCAGAAGACCGTGAAGAGGGGGGCAGGACGCGAGAGTGGCCAAGCGAGAGGAGAAAGAATAGGAGGAGACGACGAAGAGTATTCAGCCAGACGGATTGACCTAGAAGCTCCTCAGACTCCTCCCCCTCCTCTTCCTCCAACTAGTCCGGTACCCGATCGTTCTGTTCAAACCTCACCCCCAAACACCTGTCTTCCTCCTCCTTCTCCTCCCCCATCCTCCCCCCGCATCCTCCTCCTTCTCCTCTTCATGAACTTCCTCCTCATCCTCATGACTCCTCATTGCCATCAACATCCTCCTCCTCCGCCCTCTGCTTCCCTTTCCAGCTGTTTCCCCCGTGGTCCACCTGAGGGGCAGGGGCCGAGCAAATAAACAGACGAACGGCCCATTCAAAGAGACATATGCAAACAAACTACGTAAGCCCCGTAAGGTTTGGCTTGCATTGGGGCACTTGAAACGTCTGCTTGGCTGCTCGCGTGGCTCCTGCGGGCTCGATGACAGCAACACAAAGGCAAAGCGATCGATGCTGATAGCGACGGCGCCGACAGCAAACGCAACATGGGTCAATCTGGCTTCGCACGCCCCGCAGCGCTGGGCGCGATCATCTTCGCTCTCTCGCGCCGCCCCAGAGAAAAGGAACGCCCTCTGGCCCAGACCCAGAGCGCGAGGCGCGTGACTACATCCTCCCTCACGTTCCCGGCGACCTTGGCCAAACAACGGATACGAAGGCGACGAATACGACCACGACGACGACGACGACGACGACGACGACGAGGACGAGGACAACGACGACGACGGAACCGAGAGAAGAGGCCGACCCGTCCTGCAGCAGCAGGCAGGCCAGGCCCGTGCAGATGTTCGTCAGCTCGGCGCAGCCGTACACGGCGTCATAGAAGCACAGCATCCACGGCATCGCCGCGGAGAAGACGGACACCAGCTCCCAGAACCTGGGAAGGGAGCGCGCGGTGCACGCCCGCATAGGGCCTGGCCCCGGCCCCGTCCAGGGCCCAGGAAGCAGATCCCATACTTGCTCCCCGGGCACGGCGCGGCGAGGATGCGCCTCCCTGCGGCCACGCTGGGGCGGAAGACGGCACAGTATTGGCAAGGTCAGAGAGCATCGGAATCGGGCAGACGGATCAGATCGGCGTCGTACCGGGTCGCATCGGCACGGAGCCGAAATCGAATCGGACCGGCTGCGCCAGGACCTGAACGAACCCAGATCGACGATGCTGCAACACGCCCACCCGTTTCAAGACCCCTCTTCACGAGCTTACGAGAATTTCTCTTCACTGCTGGAAATGCCCCGATTAAAAGACGAGCGCGCCAGGGTCCTGCACCAGCCCTTTGGGCGTGAGTGGTTTAGCGAGCTCTCTCTGTTCTCAACCCCCCTTCTTCCCCTTCGGGGAGGGGTTTACCCCTCCCCCTACCCCCTCCCCCTGGGCCTGGAGAGGGCGCCCCGCGGGTCGTTGGAGGGGTCTTTTTTGACTCCTGGGAGGGCCAAAAAACGACGACCCTCACGAGGATTCTGGCCCCGACGGGGGGGCACAGTTTGGCCCCTTCTGCTCTTCTTTAAAGCCAAAATCATTGATTTTACTAAGGTTTTGGCCACATGTTGGCGTTCTGAGGGGTCCGCGCTCATCTTCCTCCATAGCAAAATCATTGCTTTTACGAAGGTTTTGGGCTCATTTTGTTCTTTCCAGGGGGCAGCTCTCATTGGCGCTTCTGAGGAGGTCGCAAGAGGCCCCAAGATGGCCTCCAGAGGCTCCCAGGAGGCTCCCAAGAGGCCTCCCAGAGGCCCCCCAGAGGCCCCCCAGCGGTCCCCAGAGGCCCCCAAGAGGCCCCCAAGAGGCCCCCAAGAGGCCTCAAGAGGCCCCAAGAGGCCCCCAAGAGGCCCCCAAGAGGCCCCCAAGAGGCCCCCAAGAGGCCCCAAGAGGCTCCAAGAGTCCCCCAAGAGGCCCCACGAGGAGCCCGAACGACTCACACCAGGACGAGGGGCCCGAACGACTCACACCACGAAGAGCCCGAACGACTCACACCAGAAGGAGGGGCCCGAACGACTCACACCAGGACGAGGCGCCCGAACGACTCACACCACGAGGAGCCCGAACGACTCACACCACGACGCGGGCCCCGAACGACTCACACCACGAGGAGCCCGAACGAGTCACACCAGGAGGAGGGGCCCGAACGACTCACACCAGGACGAGGGGCCCGAACAACTCACACCACGAGAAGCCCGAACGACTCACACCAGGACGAAGAGCCCGAACGACTCACACCACGAAGAGCCCGAACGACTCACACCAGGAAGAAGGGCCCGAACGACTCACACCAGGACGAGAAACCCCAAACGACTCAAACCACGAGGAGCGCTTTCTCTCCCTCCTCCTCCGCCTCGTCCTTCTCCCGCTCCCACCACAAGGAGGATGTACAAGGAGGCGGGAGGAAGGAGGAACAGGGGAGACATGCGGGGGCAGGCGGAAACACGCCTGAAAAACACGACTGTCGGCATGCTTCGCAAGAGTTGCTGTTTTGAGATGGGCTGGTGGGGATACGCGAAGCGTGAAGAATTTCTCTTCACTGCTGGAAATGCCCCGATTAAAGGACGAGCGCGCCAGGGTCCTGCAAATGAGGCGGGAGCCCCATTTTGAAAAGGAGGCGCCACCCATGCGTCGAACTATACGGACGGCGACGAAGTAGGACCAGTACGAAAGCCCTACGAACGTCTCAAACGAGAGACCCGATTTGACAAGAAGCCGCCATACATCCGCGTAGCTGATGGCAGCGTTCAAGACGAATGCTCACTATGCAAAATCGTGAGCAATATAAACATGATCCCGGCAAAGCAACCTAACAGCGATGTGTAGGAGCATATCTGGAAGCATCCCCCTTAAGATTCAGATGAGAATCCAATTGTAGAGTTCTGCTGTTCTCGCAGTCGTAGTCGCATTCGCGATGACAGTCGCAGTGGCCTGCATTAGCCTCAGCCTCAGCCTCAGCCTGCCTCAGCATCAGCCTCAGCCTCAGCTTCAGCCTGCCTCAGCCTCAGCCTCAGCCTGCTCCTGCATCAGCCTCAGTCTGCCTGCAGCCTCGGCCTCAGCCTCAGCCTGCCTCAGCCTGAGCCTGCCTCAGCCTCAGCCTCAGCCTCAGCCTGCCTCAGCATCAGCCTGCCTCAGCCTCAGCCTCAGCCTCAGCCTCAGCCTCAGCCTGCTTCAGCCTCAGCCTCAGTCTGCCTTCAGCCTCGGCCTCAGCCTCAGCCTGCCTCAGCCTCAGCCTGCATCAGCCTCAGCCTCAGCCTCAGCCTGCCTCAGCATCAGCCTGCCTCAGCCTCAGCCTCAGCCTGCCTCAGCCTCAGCCTCAGCCTGCTTCAGCCTCAGCCTCAGTCTGCCTTCAGCCTCGGCCTCAGCCTCAGCCTGCCTCAGCCTCAGCCTGCATCAGCCTCAGCCTCAGCCTCAGCCTGCCTCAGCATCAGCCTGCCTCAGCCTCAGCCTCAGCCTGCCTCAGCCTCAGCCAGCCTGCTTCAGCCTCAGCCTCAGTCTGCCTTCAGCCTCGGCCTCAGCCTCAGCCTCAGCCTCAGCCTCCTGCCTCAGCCTCAGCCTCAGCCTGCCTCAGCATCAGCCAGCCTCAGCCTCAGCCTCAGCCTGCCTCAGCCTCAGCCTCAGCCTGCTTCAGCCTCAGCCTCAGTCTGCCTTCAGCCTCGGCCTCAGCCTCGGCCTGCTCAGCCTCAGCCTGCATCAGCCTCAGCCTCAGCCTCAGCCTGCCTCAGCCTCAGCCTCAGCCTGCCTCAGCCTCAGCCTCAGCCTGCTTCAGCCTCAGCACAGTCTGCCTCAGCCTCGGCCCAGCCTGCTGGCTTCCATTCGGCGAACGCTGTTGCTTTTCGCTTCAACCTCAGTCGGTTTACGATTTATGTCCTCAGCCTGGTCTCACATTGCAACGCTTAAGTTGAGGTCAAGTCGAGGCCTCCGACTCAAGCCTAGCCTGCTTCAGCCTCAGCCTCAGTCTGCCTTCAGCCTCCGGGTGACTCAGCCTCAGGCTTGCCTCAGCCTCGTCCTGCATCAGCCTCAGCCTCGCCTCAGCCGCCTGAGCATCAGCCTGCCTCAGCCGCAGGCCGCACATGAATCAGCCTCACCTCAGCCTCAATCTGCCTTCAGCCTCGGCTTCAGTCTCAGCCTGCCTCTGCCTCAGCCTGCATCAGCCTCAGCCTCAGCCTGCCTCAGCCTCAGCCTGCCTCAGCCTCAGCCTCAGCCTCAGCCTGCCTCAGCCTTAGCCTCAGCCTGCTTCAGCCTCAGCCTCAGTCTGCCTTCAGCCTCGGCCTCAGCCTCAGCCTGCCTCAGCCTCAGCCTGCATCAGACTCAGCCTCAGCCTCAGCCTGCCTCAGCATCAGCCTGCCTCAGCCTCAGCCTCAGCCTGCCTCAGCCTCAGCCTCAGCCTGCTTCAGCCTCAGCCTCAGTCTGCCTTCAGCCTCGGCCTCAGCCTGCCTCAGCCTCAGCCTGCATCAGCCTCAGCCTCAGCCTCAGCCTGCCTCAGCCTCAGACTGCCTCAGCCTCAGCCTCAGCCTGCCTCAGCCTCAGCCTCAGCCTGCCTCAGCCTCAGCCTGCATCAGCCTCAGCCTGCTTCAGCCTCAGCCTCAGCCTGCATCAGCCTCAGCCTGAGTCTGCCTTCAGCTTCGGCCTCAGCCTCAGCCTGCCTCAGCCTGCCTCAGCCTCAGCATAAGCCTGCCTCAGCATTCAAAATGTGGCCAGGGAATGGAATTCTGGGAACTCGAAGAACACGAAGTGGCCTACAGCTTGCTCCGGGCATTCAAAATCATACCCAGGAATGGAGTTCTGGGAAGTCCAAGAGCACGAAGTGGCCTACAGTTGGCTCCGGGCATCCAAAATGTGGCCCGGGAATGGAGGTCTGGGAACTCGAAGACCACGAAGTGGCCTACAGTTGGCTCCGGGCATCCAAAATGTGGCCCGGGAATGGAGTTCTGGGAACTCGAAGACCACTCGAAGTGGCCTACAGTTGGCTCCGGGCTCCCAAAATGTACGCCGGGAATGGAGTCTGGGAACTCGAAGAAACACGAAGTGGCCCTACAGTTGGCTCCGGGCATTCAGAATGGTGCCCGGGGGTGAATGAGTCTGGGAGGTTCGACGAGGCACCAAGTGTTGTGACTGTTGCATCCGGTTATTCAGGATGTGGCCATGGGAAATGGGGTTGGTTGGTTTTTGGGTTTTTTCGAGAGGGCCGACGAGCACGAAAATGTGGTGACTGTTGGGAAAAAAACGAGCACCCGGCAACAGGCCCCCGGGGGGCCAAAAACCCCTCCCCAACACCTGCACGGACCCCCCTGGGGAGTGATCTGTGAGCTCTCTTTTGACCCCAGCTCTTTTGAGTCAACTAGAAACCTATCAGTCTTCGCTGTTAGGTAAAAACGACCCCTTCCACCCGTGGAGCTCCTGGGCGTGTTTATGATTATCCCGGCAAAGCAACCTAACAGCGATGTGTAGGAGCATATCTGGAAGCATCCCCCTTAAGATTCAGATGAGAATCCAATTGTAGAGTTCTGCTGTTCTCGCAGTCGTAGTCGCATTCGCGATGACAGTCGCAGTGGCCTGCATTAGCCTCAGCCTCAGCTAGCCTGCTCAGCATCAGCCTCAGCCTCAGCCAGCCTGCCTCAGATCATCCCAGCCTGCTCCTGCATTCAGCCTCAGTCTGCTGCAGCCTCGGCTCAGCTCTCAGCCTGAGCCTGCATCAGCCTCAGCCTCAGCCTCAGCCGCCTCAGCATCAAGCCAGCCTCAGCCTAGCCTCAGCCTGCCTCAGCCTCAGCCTCAGAATTAGCCTCAGCCTCAGCCTGCTTTCAAGCCTCAGCCTCAGTTGCCTTCAGCCTCCGGGCCTCAGCCTCAGCCTGCCTCAGCCTCAGCCTGCCTCAGCCTCAGCCTCAGCCTGCCTCAGCCTCAGCCTC